CCTGGCCACATGACCTTGGAGGTGTCTATGGACAATGCCGGCTCTTCGGCTTAGCAATGGAGATGAGCACCAGAGTCAGAGTCAGACTTAATATCAGGGAGAATCTTTATGTTTACCTTACTCAGCCTTCCTCCCTTCTCCCAACCCAAGGCCACTGTCCCCATCCCCCAATGAAGGAAGGGCACTGACCACATCAGGAAGGCAAAGACCAAGATGACCGCCAGGACGAAGAAGGCAAAGACGCCCAGCAGCACCAGCACCGCCACCTTCTCCGTGGGATCGCTGCGACCGGCTGCTGCTGAAGACAGAAGGCGAGAGGAAAGGATCCTTTAGGTCAGTCTTAACTTACCTGGAAATGACCATCCACCAGTCCCTGGGCATGATGACCAACCCACCAAACTGTAGCATCCGAGAGCCGTTCAGCAGTGGAACTCTCTGCCCCGGAGCATGGTGGAGGCTCCTTCTTTGGAGGCTTTTAAACAGAGGCTGGATGGCCATCTCTCAGGGGTGATTTGAATGCAATTTCCCTGCTTCTTGGCAGAATGGGGTTGGACTGGATGGCCCATGAGGTCTCTTCCAACTCTTGGATTCTATGATTCTATGATCCTCCCTCTTCTAGATCTGAGTTTATGGATCCCCAGAAACACTATGTAACCCAATTTGCATTCCTGGGTTATAAATGTTTTTTCCCGAATTGGTTCTATCATAAAAACATAGGAAAAGTTTATTCAACTGCGTAAACTTTGTTTTTGTGGGACATCATTGGCTATAGTTTTCCAATGAATATCTCACTGAGTCTCAACCAATTCAACCTAGTGTGTGCCACAAAACAATGTTTCTGGAGTAGAACAACTACTGCCAAAGTAAGACCCGCAAAATTTATTTATTTATTTATAATTCAAACTTATATGCCGCGACTCCCCTATGGCTCGAGCGGCTTACAAGAACAGACTAAAATCTAAAACAATTTTTAAAAAAACAGCAATATCAAAGCTCAAAAGCCTGTCAAAACAGATATGTCTGACATGCCCTGCGGAACGCTGATAAGTCCCGCAAGGCACGGACTTCAGGTGGCAGAGTGTTCCAGAGCGATGGTGCCACTGCTGTGAAGGCTCTGCGCCTGGTTGCTGTTAGGCGCAAGGTCTTGACACTGGGGACTTCCTGTAGATCTTGATCCTCAGAACGGAGGGATCTCTGGGGTTGGGAGGGGGTGAGGCGGTCCCTCAGGGACACTGGCCCCAGACCATGCAAGGCCTTCAAGGGGAGTACCATCCCTTTGAAAGTGATCCGGTGCTCAATTGGTAACCAATGCAGCTGTAGCAAGATTGGTGTTATGTGGCATCTCATCGGAATTCCCGCAAGAAGCCAAGCAGCTGCATTTTGTACCAACTTGAGCTTCCGGATCACCGACAGAGGAAGGCCAATGTAGAGGGCGTTACAGTAGTCCAGTCTTGAGATGACCCGTGGCCTGGATCACCGTAGCTAGCCTGGACAGGTAGGGGGCCAGCCGTCTAGCCTGCCGCAGATGAAAGAAGGCGGTTCTGCTAACGGCGGAGACCTGGGCTTCCATCGTCAGAGGGTCCAAAAGGACTCCCAGACTCTTGACCAACGATGACAGGCATAGTGCCTCGCCATCCAGGGTGGGCTGCTGGATATCCCCACTGCCCGGTCGACCCAGCCATAGGATCTCCGTCGTTGCTGGATTCACCCTCAACCTGCTGGCACGCAGCCATCCAGTCACGGCCTCGATGGAAGGAAACAATGGAAACTGATGGAAACAATTGGGTCCAGAGTCCGGTCGGCCTTCCATCTTCAGCACCAGCTGAGTGTCATCAGCGTACTGGTAACACTCCAGCCCAAAACCTCGAACCAGCTGAGCAAGTGGTCGCATAGAGATGTTAAACAACAAAATGAAGCAGGAAATAAAACTTTCAAACCAGGAACAGGAACTTTTCCGAATGCTGTTACATAATGTAATTGGCATTGTGGTTCGGTGCCACCTTCCAGCAACTAGAGTCAACAGGGTGAAAACTGGAGAGGGCTCCTCCACCTTGAAAATGGCATTTCTGAAGGGTTTGTTTGGTACCTGAAAGCTGCAGAAATCCTGTCTTGTATGCAAGCTTTAAAATCTCAGTAGCCCTCTTTGGTTTTCATGGAATCCCAGTTATTGTTATTGTTGAGGTGGTGGTTGTTATTTACACCCCGCTTTATCTCTCCCAAAAGCATCAACATACCATTTAAAATCTCTATACTGTATATACTTGAGTATAAGTCTAGTTTTTCAGCCCCTTTTTTAGGCTGAAAAAGCTCCCCTCGGCTTATACTTGAGCCAAGGTGTTGTAACTCAGCGTGTGCCTTCTGTATCTACTAGTGCTAGTAGGAGGAAGCGAGGCTTGGAAGAGGAAGACGCTCAGCAGCAGCTGAAACGCATTAGGGACATGTTCCTAGAATCTAGTGATGAGGAAGAGTTTCAGGGGTTTACTCATGAGGAGATGGAGAT